AATTGGACTGAAACGTTGTTAACGCGTCCCGACATTGTTTCGAAAATTTCAATCAAAACACGTTATACCCACAAAATGAGAATTGAACATGAGATATCGCCCCGTTTGTTTCATTATAAATTAGAAGTGGTATGTTCATTTCGTAAGCGAGCTCATCTGCCTGATAGCTCATAGTTTATCGTTCAGCATTCTGCACGCGACCTAAGGGCCCGTGTTTCCACGATAATATCGTGCCGGACGCACCACAGCGACGCCGCGAACGTTGCTTTCTTCCGTTTCGCGTTATCTGCCACAGCGGCGGCGACGACGACTAAAAGGTTTGTCCCGATTAGATAACGAAGCGTGCATCGAACGTCGCCAGGTGTTCTGGGTTAGAGCGAACTGCGTCGTTGGAATTGATGTGAGGTATCTGACTGATCAGATCTCCGTGCGTCGGCCGACATTCGACCATGTTAGTCTTTGTGAGGTCGCAAAAATAGACGGCCAGCGGGGAAAACGAAGCATAAATTTACGACGAGCGCGTGTACGCGTAAAAACAAGATCATTGTGGATTATATTGCGGGTCGGGCGCTGAAAGTTGAATACAGAAGGCTCGTATAATGGAGCCAATCCCTCGTTAGTGACGCGTGGTAGATTATTCAAAGTGGAAAAGGTCAATCGGGGTCGTACGACCTTCGTCGAACTCGACTTAACTAATACTGAACCAGCGATACATTTTATGAAGTGTGATTAGCAATAGAAACCACGCAACGCGACCAATCTCGCAGCTACACTGAGAAAACATATTCAGCATTTGTAAACTATAATCACATGTGAACAGAAATAATTACAAATTGTCGTCACGAGGAAACCATTTTTTAAATAAAATTCCTTTATGATGTTAGTGATTATATGCATGTTATTACTATCATTTTCATTGGAAAATAAGGGGAAAATATAGTCGGAATCAAAAGTAATTACAATTCTAGTTAAATATCATCCATTTTTGCTCTCTCTCTCTCTCAGCATGGACGTTGAAACGCGGAATGAAAATTTCGCGAAGCTTGCAAGTCCACAAATTCAGTTACATTGAGCTCATCTCCATTATCTAAAATTCATTTTGATGTTGCTCGTTTGATCCTTGAGAACTCGGATTTCTGTATCTCGTATCGTTGGCAAGCTTAGTCCTCTCACTGACACGTTTCCATCAAATAAGACGCGCCCGGGAATGAAAAGGTTAAACCCGAGCGACGAATTCCCCCTCGTTAACGGCCGGGCGACCATCGACTGCTGCTGTATAAATTGCAAACTGCACACTCCTCGCTCTCTAATTACGAACTCGGCGCGGCTCTAACGAGCTCGCGAGCGCGACATCGTGATCGCTTCCATAAAGTCACTCGACTTCGTCCCGTGGGGAATGAAAATGCGGAACGGCATAACGCGCGTGTTTGCGTGCTGGTATCATCCATCCATCCATCCATCCATCCATCCATCCACCCACCCACCCACCCATCCATCTATCTATCCATCCATCCATCCATCCATCCATCCATCCATCCATCCATCCGTTCGTCTGTCCGTCCATCCATTCATCCATCTGATATCTCATTTCTACCTACTGACATGGGAATCACGTGGAAAAGACCGTATGCTTCTGAGCTCCCTTTTTTATATAATAACGTGCAGAAATGTTATTTAAACTTTAGACTTAGCGTGACTCACCTTTCACACCCGTGAATACACTCACGTGAGTCATCGTGATCCATTCCCACGGATCTGCTTGTGTATCGTTCCGAGACCTTTTAGTGTAATGAAAGGGCGAACCTCGGGGGAACTTTGGTGCGGAACACCGGGTCGTTAGTAAGAATTACGGACGCAGGTAAATTGTCGCTTAATTAATGCACCAATTTATGGGATACATTCGTCGCAATTTTTCGGCCGGGAACTTATCTCAGCCCTATTCTTGCAAAACGTCAGATCGATAACCATGTAGCATCACATGTTCGTTCGTCGTATTTTCCCCCTTCCCTCCGCCCTTATCCCATCCACCGCGATTGTCATTTCAAAGTTACCAATCTGTATCCTTGCGCTGTTGCACATATTGTTGCATATTGGATACAGTTTATCGCAAAAGAGTATCACGCGCGTCGTATATTCGCTGGGCTGTATTTTTATTTTCCCTTTTTTCCCTTCGTTTTCAATAACGCTCTCGCAAAAATGGGGAAAGCGCATCGGAGAAAAATTCTGTCCACGCGCATGGTGACCGATATTCACCTCTCACCTTTCTCCCGGGTGACAAGTTCGCTTGTATTTCGACGGCGAAAAATTACTCCGCGAGTCCCAAAGAGCAGGGATAAGGACTCTCGGGGATGCGAGGTAACGAGCGAGGAGCTACGTAGCTCGGCAAGGACGGAAGAGACCGCTGAAAAATTGAATGCCCGAGGAAAGGCGCATAAGTTCGCATATGAGATGCGTATGCTTCTTATCCTGTGTTTCATAAAAGCATTGCCCCGGCTAAGCCTTCTCCATGCAAAAGTTATCGTGTCGCTTTTGAAGCATTGTTTGAGATACGACAACGTCATCTCCCTTTCTTTCTCTCTCTCGCAAACTGAACACCTGATCCGTACCTCACGTTTGCCATGTGTGCTGACACGTCGCACACTTAAAGCAACGTGAAGTCGCGACGTAAAAATTCCCTCTCTATTTCGCACCTCATTTTTCGCCGTTTTTGTTACGGCTGTTTGTAAACAGTAGTGTACAGGAGAAAAAGGAAATTCTCTGCGCGCAATCTACATACCCAAGAAACAACCCACTGCGTGTTTCGTACGTCGGATATGCACCGCAGTGTATTCTTTTTCAACGAAAATGCGCAAAAATATACAACAAGGGCCACGTTGCAGATGTCAGACGCGAGATTGTTTAACGATGCGAAAAATTTAAATTATGGAGTGTCTCGATCTGAACACGTGTGGTCATCCTCGGCTGTATTAATAATTTGCGTGTATTATCTTTCACGTTTATAATTAATTCAGAATTACCTTGGCTCACTTTATGCTGGGCTACGGAGAAGGCAGCCGAAACCTCGTGACGTGATAATTCGTTAAGTGAATTGGGAAAAGGGATGTCTCGGCCGCTTATCACCACAGATCTCGCAAAGCGGAGAGAACTTGCAGGAGATTTGCTGGCCTAAAAGAGACAGCCGCTCTTTTACGACGACTCTTAACGTCGACTGTAATTTCGCTTGTAGAATCGTTCGTTTTGTACACTTTGCGACCATCTAATTGCACTAATGTGACTTTCATACGACTGTGCTCCGTCACGAGATCATCCATTTTCCATCCAACGACATGGCCATTTTGCGAAGCAAGCGAGGCACTTCCGCGTGTGCCAAGACGAAATTTCACCGGTGCGGGAATCCTACGGAACCTACGGTTAACAGAATTAACGATTCACTAGAATTAGCATGTAGTCAAGAGCGACGTTAAGTCAACAGGGAGGCAAGCGAGGCTAATATACAAAAGGCATTCCAGGTGCCGCGAAAATTTATTGTCAACCGTGAATACGACCTCAGGCGAGCTACTTCGCCTCACAATCGGCCACAGCCGATTTGCGGCCGTCACTCACTGATGAAAGTTGAATGCGAGGTCATCGATTTTTCGCATCCTGGCTCGACGTAACATTCTTGCCAAAGCTCGGTCCATTCAGTATTAATTGTATATCGACATAATTTTCCTTGCGTTCTTAACTCAATCCGGCCTCGGCGGAGCGACCGTCGTAAATGAATAACTCTGATGTCGTTTACTGCCCGCACCTTGCATTCCGCGTTCTAAATGGATCACCCTCTATATATTAACGTATGTATGTACGTGACGAGACTCGTCAGACCGGCCTAACGGCCAGCCGACGATGCTAGCTTGGTAAATCTTGCGGTGAGCCGGTACATCCCCCAGCAGCGGAAATCTCGAAAGGCCACAAACCAGGCCGGACACCACCACGTCCGCGGTCGATATTCTCTCGAAACACTTTCGGAAGGTGATAGTCGAAATTCACCGTGACTACCGTTCGACGACAGCACGGAAATTCACGTAGCTTTCTCTCTCTCTCCGTCATTGATATACATGATGTATGGCGTTGTTGAATCGTCGAAGTACGAGTATATTTTTTATTATTCTATCAATTACTAATTCAGTGGTTTGAAAGTGAAGCAAAGTGTGCTCGTGTGACGCAGAAGTGTGAGCCAGGTGACCATATGAATAAATAAAGTGTAAGACTAACTTTAGATACTCGATTTCGTACTTACAGTGATTCATATAAAATATAGATGTATTGCTTCCTTATTACGAGCTCCTCGTGCCCAAACTAAATTGCTAGAGCTGACTGAGAGATTACTGTCCAGATAATATTTGATATCCCAAGTTCCCGATAATTCCATGATGTTGACGATTTTCCCCCGTTTCCCTCACTATGTTTACTCAGCTTGCTTACTCAGTTTTGCTTACCTTGTGGATTTTGGGAATATTTTAAGAGATTTCTATAGAGAGTTGGGAGTCCTCCGATGAAGTAAACAAGTTACAGACAAACTCTTCTTTAAAAGATCACACAAAAGTTCGCGGTTTCTTAAGATTGAAAAGACAAAAGTGCGTAAACCGAACGAAGGTACCCGTAGTAACATACAATTGTCAGATTCGTACAGGTAGAGGCGATAGAATCTTAAGTAGAAGGTAGAATCTTAAGTCGCCTCAATCAAGCCTTGGCGAACTAGATAACGTGAGTCTAAAGATCCCGAATAGGATCCCAAACACAGCGAGCTGCTATTTATTCGTATTATATACCTAAGCTCTTGGCAGCGAGCGTAAATTTCTAAAATCGTCCATCGGTCTACCTGGACGAACCTATTCGTGCGCAATGTTTCATCGGAATCCGAACTTCCGGGTTGGCAAGGTTTTCTGTTTCTAACTGGTTCACCAACATCTGTTCCAGGGTATGGCAACGTGACGCGGCGAACTATTAGCCGGCACGAGATGAACACGAACGGCAACGCGGTTGGTCAAGAAGGTGGTGCCGGCACCGATTACGGCGGCAATGAGGAGACGGCCGCCCTATTGGGCAGACAACCGCCGCCGCCGGTCGTGGTGGCCGCGGCGTCTCAGGGCAAGCCGGTGCTCACACGGCAGGATCGGGCGACCTTCCTGGTCGCCTCGCCGCAATTGTCCGTATCCGGGCTCGGCGGCTCCGAGGAAAGCGGCACCAATGAGGACCCGGCGACCAGATCGGTACCGGACATTGAGCTTCACTGTCGACTGGACGGCGAGCCGCAGGTCCCGCAGCTTCCGCAGCAACAGCAACAGCCGCAGCACCAGCAGCCGTCGCAGTTGCAGGCACACCGTTCCTCCAGGCAGTCGCATCAGTACAGATGCAGATGCGACCGAAGGGACTCCCTCGCGCCCACCTCGGCTCTTCATTTGGCCCGTAGCGTTTCCAGGTAGGTCAGAGTAGAGTAGAATTCAATGGAACGGAGCTGCATATTCCGACTCGAAGAATCCCCTCGTGACCATCGAGATCATGATTTCTTTTTTGAAGAAAATGACGCAATATTGCGTTCTCTATTGATCTGTGATGCTACCTTTCCACTATTGCGCAACGTCTATGTCGAACATAGAACAATTTTCGTTACGTAAACGTGTAAAACGTTTGATAACGTTTGACTTGACCCACTCTGGTCGAAATGGCACAGACGTATGTAGTTATACATTTCGCAATCGTTCGATATCGCAGCGACATTTATTTTTAGCAACTGCTGCGTAATTTTTTTGTTCGTTAAACGTGCGTATGCTCTGAACACAGTAGTTATTTTTCCGGGTGAAAAGTAACAATTGCTGCTCCCCATACTTGTACACGTGATTAATAAGAGGGTAAGTTCAAAAACACGAAGTATAAAAGTGAACGGGTAAAATTAGGAACGTCGGAATAATTATCGTGAGCAACCAAATTGCTTCTTTCAGACATACGAGCTAAATTTGATATTGTTATTAACGTCCACATTTGCGGTACAATGATAGAGGAACATAGAACTTTCGTGTTATATACCGCCCACAATGTACAATAGTGTTTATCTATGAAGACTTAGTATGTGTCGAAAGAAGAAAACGACAGTTGTGTAGCTTTAAGCACGCCCAGAAAGTTTCGTGTAATTGGCAAAGTTTAACTGCTCTGCGAACATTAGTCGGTCATGCCATAAACTTGCGTTTGGCTGTAATAGAATAGGAACGAGCGGTTCTAGACACAGTACTCGATAAGAGATCCGCACGAAATGGAGATACGCGGGTTCACTTCTGATATGGTTTATGATTTCTTAATTTTGTCTGCGCACCCTGTATTATTTATTCATCGACCACCGATACGCAACGCTCTTAAGACGTTAACGCTCCAAGTCACGTCCGAAAGGCTTACAATATTCATTGGACGTACAGGGAGTGCTTTTCCCTGAAGTAGAAGCTGAAGAAGTAGATAGTACGAAGGATACTTCCTATACACGCATATCAATATTTCTTTTCAATTAAAAAGAAAAATTCTGCCTTGAATGTGCATTGTCAAATTATATATCTGCATTAATTTATTAATTAAAAGAATCGTATTGCTTGACGTATAGAGAATCGGCTCACGTGTGTAGAGATGCGTGTGTAGAGATTGTCTCGTTTCGTGCTACGAGATTTGTCCAGTAACACAAATAAGAGCCAATATATTATATGATCTTTCAAAGATTGCCCCGACAGCGTTGATTCCAACAGCAACATCTCGTGCAGCAATTTAACGTAGGATACACGATCTTAGATGACGGATCTTCTATATCAAGGATCTCTGGAGCGTGGATTTTTATCTGGTCCGCGAGGAAAGGAGGAATCTATTTCTCAGAGTTGCTACGAATCGTCTACTTTTATCTAAGCACGCCCGGCGATTCGCTGAGAATTGCCGTCCTCCCGGAAATGCGTCGCTCTCGGAAAAATGTGAGGCCTTTCTTTCTTTAGACAAGAATCCTCCAGGCGGAAGAAGCCTCTCTCTTCACCAGTGTAGAAAAATTCGCGCGCTTGCCATCGTCGCGAGTTTTCCAGGACAATCTCGTTCACCGGGTCAGAGGTTGAGCCGTGGAATTTTATGTCCTGTAACTCCTGGGATCCTCTGGCGGCCGGGAAATATACACCAGGGATTCCCTGAGATAGAGAAACGCCGTAAAAAAAATAGCAACAGCGGGAATTCTCTACGTGAATATAGCGAAGTCGATCTTTGCCAAATCTTTTCTTTTCATAGGAATTTTTCAAGGACCATATTTTAACTGGTTGTTAGCTATTAGCGACTTGGTTGAATTTACCGAGGACGTTAAAGCTGTTAGCTCTTTTCCTATTTCTACTTTAATTAACTCGGTATTAAATCTATAAAATGAGAATATGATAACATTACGAGATGTAAAAACTTTAAATTAGAAAAAAGAAAGAAAAGTAAAGAAAAGTAGAGGAACGAATCAGTTCTTGTGGAATTGATTTAAAATTTCAGACTTGTTCTCCTGTGCTTCACTGTTTGAGTCATCGCGTTTTAAGATTTGCAACAGGCTACGTTATATATAGAAATACGATTGGAAAAGAACTTATGAGCGATATTGTATCATATTATTTGAATAGTTACGCTTGGTAAGCGGATCTTTTATGTTTGTGATGTAAAATAAGGATATTGAGTCTCGAGAAGAGAGGAAGATCCATTGTTATCCCAAGAAGCCATTCAGAAACTAAGAGGGACTTCACTTTCTATTGAAGGTCGAAGTGCGCGATAGTTAACAATATATTCAGACGACAGTCTCACTATCTGAGCGACGTTCTATCGAGGGTTCCTCACTCAGGGCGCCCTTAAACAAAGAACTCCTCCGCAATATCTAGACATATTCTATCGACAAAATTGAATTACTCGTATCCAACGCTGTCAATCGATGGGTTTCGTTAGAATCTCACTCGAGAATTTCACGAAGAGTTTCGTGTCTTCGACATTTTACATAATATCTTAGAAATATACCATTTTATATCCACTATGCTTTCTCTAATAAATTCAGAGTCGAGTGCTCTTTCGGAGCGAATCCTTCCTTTAAAAAAAAAAAAAATGAAAGTATTTGAGCTACTTACTAATATTACAGTATTAACTAATAACGTATATTGTATATTTAAACGCTAAATAAATGATTTACTAAGTATACAGTCGAAATTAGTCGGAGAAGTTTCAGTATTGATTTGCCAAAGTTAAAGTTTCAACCCGAAGAAATTTGAATTTGGAACTTTGCTCATAACTCGAGACCTATCGATTCCTCGACGTCGAATAACCGTTATTGCTGATAACATTTCTCAAGTATTATCACTCGTTGCTAATGATATTAGTTATTGCTGATAATATTAGTACAATATTAGATATTATTAGAAGTTATTAGTGACATTAATATGTATTTTACTTTTGCTTTTCGAGTAACGTCAGTAAGTCTTTGAAATCTTTGCGTACCAGTTTAATGATTTCGATCAAATAAATGCATTGCTTGTTTGAAATTTCGCGGAAAAAGAAAAAGATTCCATAGAGTGTCTGTTCTTTGTTACCTGCAAAGTTGAGTAACGAGGTTGAACAGCACGATGTGTTCTGTTTTCTCAGAGAGAGCGTGAAAAGCGGCCACCACTGTTGCCCGTGTCAGGCGCCGCCGCCACCGGTGTTGGTAACCACGTCGCCCAGCACGCGCATAATACGGCAGAGTTCGCAGCCGGAGGCATCCGCGTGCTGTTGCTCCGGCTGTTGCTGCCCGCTGCACACCGGCGCGGCGCCGAGCGCCGCCTCGCTGCGGCAACTCCGCGAGCCGGGGGACGGAATCGCCGGCATCGCCGCGGACTCGCTGCGGATCAATGGCGGTATACGACAGTTCCGGCAGGTAAGCCGCGACCTCGCTTCGTCGTCTCTCTCTCTCTCTCGCGAGCTTAACAACAGCACAACGCCCATGATGCAAGAATACCTGGGCATTGTGACCGGACGGTGCATACACACGTACACGTAGATACGCCCATGAAGATCGAATCCGTTAGATCGAAAGTGGCGGTAGTCTGTCTCTTCGGGATTTAAAAGGCGAACAGTCGATTTTTGCACTTGACACCTTCTTTGGAACAGAACAATTTCGAGCGAAATTTTGCGCAAGGGTTAATCATCCGCTAATGTTTCTGCGAACGGCGCAATTATGAATAAATTATCATCTATCTGCTAAGCAGAAATTATTTGCATTGTAAATTTAGTGTTGAATGGAAATTCGTATAATTTATGTCACTTGAAAACACTGACGGATTCGATTACCGTAGCAGTCTTTTGATCAGGTAGTTTGTCCCGTAACATTTGATATCATATTTTCCGTGGAACATATAACACATATTTTCTACTATATGATATAAATGCGCAGTTAATGCGTTATTGGGCAAATTCTTAAAAAACAGTAAGAAAAAAGTAAATCTGTACATGTAACAGATTATAATAGATTTCTCTGGAGACTTGAAATTCGCACGTGAACATGGGACAAAAGCCTGATTTATGACACCGCTATTATACACAACGTTGCAGATGGTATTCTTACATTATGGAAAGCACCATCTGTGCACAGCGTAGCATCGTCAATTTTTCCCATCATTGACACTCCCACACATGCTACAGTTTGTCCGCTTTTCTCTCGTGTTCTATTTGTTTTCACTTCCAGCTGATTTCGTTAGGAAAAGAAAGAAAGAAGAGAGACAGAATTCATATTCAATAGGTAAATAATGTTTTTTAATGAAAAATTCTTTAAAAAATATTTCTTACCAGAAATACGTAAATGTGGATTTTTAGATTCCAGAATTACAAATAATCAGATAACAACAAAGATTCTCTTTCTCTTTCTCTCTCTTTCTCTCACCCTTCATCCTTTATCACTTCCCCTTTTGACCTGTCTTCTGTCGCTGTTTCTGACTCGTTTCATGCATGTTTTTCATCTTGGTATTCGTGTTCTCGTTTCTTCTAGTATCACTGTTTTACTGTCAAGTTGCTCACCTCTTTTATCTGATGTTTCCACTCGTTACGTTCCTGTTCGAACGTTACGGTGCTGTGGTGTCGTTTATGTGTCGAATGTGTTTTGCAACGTTCCATTTTCTCTTGTTGTTCGCACGGATTCATTCCGTCACTTCCAAGGAGTAGATTTCTCCCTTTTCGTTCTTCAACGTATGTGATCTCCCTTATTCTGTTTACACCCCCCTCGCTTGGGGTTTACCCGGCGTAGATCCGCGGAATCATAAAAGTGAGGATAAGAGAAGATAGATAGCAGGCTTTACGGGATTGAAAATTACAAGTTTAACTTTACGAGACAATAAATCGTATCACTTCCATCGTGAAGGAGGGCGTGACTGTTCTTTCCGTGTAGCTTCCCTCGTTAGCTGCTGAAGGATTGATAGGTTTGTCACAGTGCACTACAAGACTAGTTTATTGGGACTTTATAGAGAAGTGTCTTCTCCCTCGTAGGTTCGCTGGGTTGTCTTTTATGATGATTTTACACAGTTACGGGGTTACGGTCGTTTTGTGAAGGATTTCGATCGTCTTGAATCTATATGGATGCAGGATAAATTGATTTGTGGGCCTTTGGATATGAGAATTCAAAAGCTCCATTCGAAAATCAATGAATCCAAAAATTTATTTTACGCGCACGTATTTTAGGCGCCATCGAGACTCCACGATTGATGAATCATTATGAATCAAAGTACTTGCAAATCGAGACATCGATGATCTAAGTAGGCATGAAAATAAGCAAGAAAGAAAACAGATTTGAAGATCTAAGGATTTGCGAATCAAAGGGAGTATAGATTCGGAAATCGTAGTTTAAAAATCCATCCAAGTTCATAGATGCATAGGCAGATTATGTATTTTTAGATTCAGAGTTCTATTTAGGCAGCTAACACAAGAAAATTGTTTCCGTAAGATACGAGTTTGCTAAGTATCTTATCGATAGAGCTTGTACACCGCCACCTAGCGGAGGGTGCAAAGGATAACTCAGAACCACCCTTAAATGGTAGCCGCATAATCTTACCGGCGGAGAACACAACTGTTATTTGCTCGACGTTCGATACCTCGCTCGCCGGATTTTTTGCCTCGTTGTCGTAGAATCCCGATGTGATACAGATGGCAGTCGATGTAAAAACAAGTCTCTTGATAAGATTACAGTGGCAGAAAAATCACGGCGGTCTTTTTACGGCTGCAATGCGAATCATTCTCTAAGTCCTGGCTGTAGTCTATCTTTTTCTAGGAAAGGATTAAACTTGCTGCATAGAAATTTCCCTCAATTTTTGGCAAGCAAAAATTTCAAAGAAGAACAACTTACGATTGAATACTTTCTATCAATCATCTTATTTCTTTCTTTCTTTATAAAGTGAATGGTAAAATAGTTTTCCCGATGCAAAAATCATTTCAAGAAATTAATTACGTAGCTATCTTGATCCCATATTCTAAAAATATTATACAGAATTCTTTTAGAATTACAAATATAAGGAACTTGACTGGCTAATAGAACTCACTGATGCAATCAAAAAGTCTTAATAAACGATCGATTCATAAACTAATTATTTACAAGATATCCAGTTCTTTATTTTCCAAGCTAGATTTTTCGGACATCTCAGTTCAATTATAATTTAATTGCTTACAAAGTTGTTGTGTGTAATTCAAACATATGTGCAATTATTTTATATCGTCTTCTTTCTTTACGATTTCGCCGAACAAAAAAGTTAAGTTTCAATAATGTCAAACTCGACCAAAAGACTCATCTTGACATTATTTTTTAATTATGCTTTTCATACGGAAGAAAGTAACACTTTATAATTTTATCAACATAAGTTGAAGTTTTCTCGTTTCCCGTCTAAATTAATTTTTGTTTTAACCTAGAAAAACAGTCGATATCTCTCGTTATAATAAATTTATAATAAATTATAATTATAATAAATTATAAATCAAATTTTACTTATTAATCCTTATCTTGAGAAAGTACGAATTTATTGGGAACATGAACGTTGCAATGAACGTTTCCTTTCGGGATTTTATTTCAAAACGCTATAACATATCTGCAAGCGAAAATATCGTTTGTATCGATCCGCGCTCGCGATCGGTTCGGTACTAAGCAAAAGCAAAGCCGATTACATAATGTAATGTAAGTTATACAACGTGGTCCCGCCTTCGCTCTTCTTTTGAGCGCTCACGTGCGCATCATACATAGCACTTAGTGTTTCACTAATGCCGAGCATGTCGATACTTTGTAGGATCATAACTCGCGAATAAATCAACATAAAGGCACGAAATAAAAACTAATCTTCTTGGTGTGCGATCCGCCGTGCGTCAGTTCTCTTATTATAAATTCGAAGATCACCTGCAGCCAAACGTCGTGATAAATTTATGTGGGCAAACTCGCGACACACCCTCTCTCGTTCGCGGACTTATGTTTGTTAAGACTATCCCGTTTGTTTCTGTGAGTTCTATTATAGCCGATGGTCTTTACCTCTAATTCCAAAACACTCTATCGAATATTCCTGAGTGAACTTTCTTCGTCCCAAAGAATCATGACATCAAAGAATAATTCTTTCTCTAGCATTAAATATCCCTCGAGATTGTCCTTGCGTGAAATTTTCTTCAAAGAACGCTCCAATTCACACGACTAAATAATTCCCCGCCTTTTCTGGAACGTCCCGTATGCATTAGCCTTGTTCTATTTTTTGCCCTGGCCGCAATCGTAATTTGCTTAATTCTGAGTGGAAGTCCTCTCGGGCGAGAGAGTTGCAAACCGAAATTTTCGTCATTATTAAACGAGATGCGCGTCGTGAAAAGGAAGAGAGGCTAGGTTGGAGCGGCGGGACCGACATTGTTAGTTTAATTATGTTTCCTTGGCGCATGGAAACGCGCCTGCGGGGTAAGGATCCTTCCGGCGGTAAGGCTCCTGTCGGTGTTTTTGGCCGGTGGCCAACCAACCAGAGACATCATCATGCATGCCATCGAGATTCGCTGCGACGAGAACCCCTCGACATTTTCCACGGATTGGGTGGTCGCCGGTAAACGTGGAGTCGACAAATCAAAGTGAATTGCAGTATGTGATATACAGGTGTACAAGCGACGTATATAACGTGCGACACCCATGTACTACCTATACATGTGTATTCAGTCCAATCAATCGCACGCTTTAATCCATTCGCTACTGACTTTGTTGTTTTCGAACATTTAAAAGTCTAAATTTTTCACATATCGCTTCGGTATATGACATATCGTTATTTGGCCTTCTCTGTGCTATTTGTAAAGTATTTAATCGATTTCTGGAAAAAAAAGAGATTATTCGTCGGAAAAAAAGTACAGTAATCGGACACTACCGAGTGGCTATAGCTTCGAGAGAGACAGGTCACAATATTCGCAATACAACTAATGGAAGAGAAAAGAGTAGTTAAACATCGGACAAAAACGAAAATGTCAGGGACTTTTCGAAATAGCGTGTCTGTGTCTGGCGACATTGCCTTTACATTATGATCACATACGAATAATTACAGTTGCACACACTTTTCCCGCCTGTCTCCGTGTCTTCAATTATCATGGATTTGAATACGGGGTAATGTTATCCCGCGGCTGTGAAAATCGAGTTTCCACTTGGAATCGTGTTTCCCTTTGAAAGCGATGTCTCTGCGATTTTTCGCAACGCGGTTTTTACGCCTGAAATTCTTTTTTGCGTACCGTCGCTTTGACATGAGGTAGTTTACGTTGCTAGAACCACTGGTTATAATTTTTGCTTACTTGTGTGGAATATGTTTGTCTGTCGTTCAGTCTGTTATTCAGTCAGTTGATCTATTTTGCTCTCCGTTTGACATTGACATGCACCGGTTCTTTTCTCAAGATATGGCA